GCCGCCATCCTGCGCGCCAGCGCCGACGCCAACGCCAAGGCCACGGCCATGGCCAGGGCCGCCGGAGCCACCGGCATCACCAGTATCACCAGTATGACCAGCATGACCGGCATCACCAGTATCACCAGTATAACCAGCACGACCGGCATCACCAGTATGACCAGTGCCACCAGTAAGGCCACCGGCGCTCCCAGTTTGGGCGGCGGCGTCATCGTCACCAGAGCCGCCGCCGGCGCGGCTCCCAGCGCTCCCAGTTTGACCAGTACGACCAGTCCGGGGAGGGTCGGTGCTGGGATTGTCCCTAAAGCCACCGGCGGGACCAGTCCGGGTGTCACCAGTGCGACCAGTGTGACCAGTTTGACCAGTGCGGCGGCTCCCAGTTTGACCAGTGCTGCAGCTCCCAGTGTCACCAGTTCGACCAGTTTGACCAGTGCTGTGGCTCCCAGTTTGACCAGTGCTGCGGCTCCCAGTGTCACCAGTGCGACCAGTGTGACCAGTTTGACCGGTGCGGCGGCTCCCAGTTTGACCAGTGCAGCGGCTCCCAGTTTGACCAGTACAACCAGTTTGACCAGTGCGGCGGCTCCCAGTGTCACCAGTGTCACCAGTTTCACCAGTGTGGCAGCTCCCAGTTTGACCAGTTTGACCGGTGCGGCGGCTCCCAGTGTCACCAGTTCAACCAGCTTGACCAGTGCTGCGACTCCCAGTTCGACCAGTTTGACCGGTGCCGTGGCTACCAGTTTGACCAGTACGACCAGTTTGACCGGTGCTACAGTTCCCAGTACAACCAGTTTGAGCAGTGCTGCGGCTCCCAGTTTGACCAGTTCAACCACTGCTACAGCTCCCAGTGTCACCAGTACAACCAGTTTGACCAGTGCTGCGGCTCCCAGTGTCACCAGTGTGACCAGTGCGGCGGCTCCCAGTTCAACCAGTCTGACCAGTGCTGCGGCTCCCAGTTCAACCAGTTTGACCAGTGCTGCGGCTCCCAGTTCAACCAGTTTGACCGGTGCTGCGGCTCCCAGTTCAACCAGTTTGACCGGTGCTGCGGTTCCCAGTACAACCAGTTTGAGCAGTGCTGTGGCTCCCAGTATCACCAGTTTGACCAGTTCCACGGCTCCCAGTTTAACCAGTATCACCAGTTTGACCAGTTCCACGGCTCCCAGTTTAACCAGTGTCACCAGTACGACCAGTTCCACGGCTCCCAGTTTAACCAGTGTCACCAGTACGACCGGTTCCACGGCTCCCAGTGCCGCCAGTGCTGCCGTTCTCAGCGCCACCAGTTTGACCAGTGCTCCCAGTATGAGCAGCGCTGCTCCCAGTTTGACCAGTGGCACCCGTGCTGCGGCTCCCAGTGCTCCCAGTACCATCACGGCAGCGGCTCCCAGTGCTCCCAGTAACACCAGTACCGTCGTGGCAGCAGCTCCCAGTACCACCAGTAACAGCGTGGCAGTGGCTCCCAGTGCTCCCAGTTCCACCATGACACCGGCTCCCAGTGCTCCCAGTATCACCAGTGCTGCGCCTCAGAGCGTTCCCAGTGCTCCCAGTTTGACCAGTGGCACCAGTGCTGCGGCTCCCAGTGCTCCCAGTATCACCAGTACGGGCATAACCAGCACTCCCAGTATCACCAGTATGGGTATGGTGACAGCTCCCAGTGCTCCCAGTATCACCGTGGCAGCGGCTCCCAGTGCTCCCAGTTTGACCAGTGGCACCAGTGCTGCGGCTCCCAGTGCTCCCAGTGCTCCCAGTACCATCATGGCAGCGGCTCCCAGTGCTCCCAGTATCACCGTGGCAGCGGCTCCCAGTGCTCCCAGTGCTCCCAGTATCACCGTGGCAGCGGCTCCCAGTGCTCCCAGTGCTCCCAGTATCACCGTGGCAGCGGCTCCCAGTGCCACCAGTATCACCAGTACGGGCACGGCAGCAGCTCCCAGTGCTCCCAGTACCACCAGTATGGGCACACTGATGGCACCCAGTGCTCCCAGTACCACCAGTGCGGCACCTCAGAGCATTCCCAGTGCTCCCAGTATCACCAGTACCACCGTGGCTGCATCTCCCAGTGCTCCCAGTGCTCCCAGTGCTCCCAGTACCAGCCCACCAGCGGCTCCCAGTGCTCCCAGTGCTCCCAGTACCAGCCCACCAGCAGCTCCCAGTGCTCCCAGTGTCACCAGTACTGGCACACCAGCAGCTCCCAGTATCACCATGGCAGCGGCTCCCAGTGCTCCCAGTATCACTGTGGCTGCGGCTTCCAGTGCTCCCAGTACTGGCACACCAGCGGCTCCCAGTGCTCCCAGTATCACCAGTACTGGTATAACCAGCGCTCCCAGTGCCACCAGTAGCACCAGTAACAGCGTGGCTGCGGCTCCCAGTGCTCCCAGTATCACGAGTACCGGCACACCAGCGGCTCCCAGTGCTCCCAGTATCACTGTGGCAGCAGCTCCCAGTATCACCAGTGCTCCCAGTGCTCCCAGTTCCACCATGGCAGCGGCTCCCAGTGCTCCCAGTGCTCCCAGTGCTCCCAGTATCACCAGTACCGGCACACCAGCGGCTCCCAGTGCTCCCAGTGCTCCCAGTGCTCCCAGTGCTCCGCCGGCCGCCGGCCCCAAGGGCAGCTCCTCGTCGTCGTCCTCCTCCTCCTCTTCCTCCTCGTCCTCCTCCTCCTCCTCGTCCGACTCCGACTCCGACTCCAGCTCCAGCTCTTCCGACTCCGCCCCGCCTTCGCCGGCCCCGCCCACCGGGTGAGGACACGCCCCTTTCCTTAATTAACCACGCCTCATTTGCTAATTAACCCCTCCCACCGGGTGAGGACACGCCCCTTTCCTTAATGAACCAATTAACCACGCCTCTTTTCCTAATTAATCCCTCCCACCGGGTGAGGACACGCCCCTTTCCTTAATTAACCAATTAACCACGCCTCTTTTCCTAATTAATCCCTTCCACCGGGTGAGGACACGCCCCTTTCCTTAATTAACCACGCCTCTTTTCCTAATTAATCCCTCCTACCGGGTGAGGACACGCCCCTTTCCTTAAT